GGCTATATCTGTTCCTTTTAGTAACTGTGGGACAATCCCTGTGTCCATGCTCCCTCTCCAAATGGTGTTAAGAGCACGTGATGAACACGGAGTCCCATGAGTCTAGGCCTGGGGTAAAGTACATGGACATGTCATTTATCGCCTTTTCGAAGTTATTTGGTGTCAGGATAATATCAGACAGGTGTGTGTCTACCAAATTCTGTGCCTCTCTCATAAAAAATTCATTTAGGTCTTCGACTCGAGGCTCGCTAAAAGCTGAGTCATACTGGGACTTGAGTAGCTCACTCATTTCCTTGCTGTCATCCGTGTAGGACCCATCCCGTTTAAGAAGGGGCCCAATATTGGATGTTGTTCATTGTTCTCGAATTTGATTTGGCATAAGAAAAGAAACACTTTGGGTTTCTTTCAGTTTTATTTATGGCTTTTAGCTCTTCCCGTGTTTCCTGACTCCTTTGCTTTAGTTCGATGTTTGCTATTTCTATGACCAGTGTCTCCCTACGTATTGCAGATATACTGGTCTGTTGTAGCTGCTCTGTTATTCTTTGCCTTCGCCTGTATAGGGAGCGCCTTTCTCTTTCTAGTTTACATCTTCTCCTCCTTTTCCTTAAGGGAATATGCCTTGAGCATATCTCAAGTGCCACAGAGTTAATTTGTTCTAGACATAGGATCAGTGTTGCTTAGGCTGTCTTCCCAGTTTATATCATTTAGGACTTTGTTTACTTGGTCCCACCTTATGTTTTTATTTTTGAAGTTGAATTTGATGAAGGCTCCCTCGTAACTGTTCACATTTTGTCGGTTTGGGGCCCCTCGCATACATGTTTGGACCTCTATTATGTTGTGATCTGAGTATATTGTTTTTGATATGATGAAATTTTGTATCGGATCATCATTGTTAGTGTAGATGAGTTCCAGCGTATTCTCCAATCTTGCAGGCTCTATTATCTGCTGGTTTAAGGTGAATTTGGTTCATAGATTTAAAAGCTCGTGTGTGTGTGCGAGTTTACCCTCTAATATTCAATCGTAAAACTGATATTGTCCGAAAATAAGTTAATAAATATAAGCAGTTAAAGTTGTGGAAACGAATGATCGGTTGGAACGGGTAAAAGTTCACCAAAGACTTATGTTGTGTGGACTGTAAAACAGAATTAGTGGGCTCTGAGGAGGCAGAAGTAGTAGATGAGTTAGAAGAAGGTTTAGTCGACTTTTGTACATTAGACTTGAGGATGTGATTTTTACCTTGAAGTTAGACTGGGGCGAGTCTTCAGGCTTGTCACCGCTTTTGATATTACCTGGGCGGTGATCAAAGTCTAAGTCTGTGGAGGAATCAGAATCTATAACAAAGTAATGTGTATCGTGGACATCAGCAGAAATGTCATCTAATGATTCTCCATCTGAAGGAAAATGAGACAGTGATGCAGGAGGCGCAAGAGACGAGGGAGGAGTAGAAATGGGTGGATCGTAACATGTAGTATTAGTAGTCTGAAAGGGACTCAGTATCAGCACAACCAATATAGGGGTCAGTGGGAAGGAATGCAATGTAGAAACTTTCAAAGGGGAAAGAAGAGGAGTGCACAGGACGAGTTACCGAAAAAAGAGTGGGAGAACAAGGTAGGAGAACAAGAGGCGAATCTGTAATAGAGGCAGAAGGCTTTGCAAGAACTTCTCAGACTATCACCTGAGGAGCAGAGAAAACAGATTATCTGGGATGTGTGGAGGCTGAAACTGATAAAGGAGTTATTGAGGGAAGTCCCTCACATCTGCTGCAACACAAGGCAAGAAGGGACTTGTCTACAAGCTTAGAAACCCTATGAAATCCTGGCAAAAGACCTGACCTGCGAAGATGCTCAATGGCCTGGCCATAAATGCAGTCCTTTTTCTTCTAGAGGTGGATTTCACGTTCGTTAAGAATGCAGAGCATCAGGGGAATAAGCAAGGTGCGCCCCAGCACAATTCGAACAACGGACAATCCGCGCGAGAGGCAATATTTTGCGGGAAGACTAAACTATCATTACTTAATAATAATAATAATAATAATAATAATAATAATAATAATAATAATAAATAATAAACTTTATTTGTATAATTACATAATATAACTTATAACCCTACCTGGAGTCTATCTGGAGGGTGTCCCGGGGATCAACGCCACCACGGTCCGGTCCATGACCAAGCCTCCTGGTGGATCAGGGCCTAATCAACGAGGCTGTTACTGCTGGCCGCACGTAGTCCAACGTACGAACCACAGCCCGGCTGATCCGCACTGACTTAGGTATCTGTCCAGCTCCCTCTTGAAGACTAGTAAGTAAGTAAGTTTATTCAGGTATACACAAATACAGTTACATAGAATTATCATACATAGCAGCATATATGTAGAGAACCTAGGATAACCCAGAAAAGTCAGACAGAGTGACTTATTTCCAGGGGTCTGTTGGTGATTCCATTTGTGGCTGGTGGGAGACTGATATCAATGACATACGTACTATGTACAAATGTCCCAGTTTATACAGAGAATTTCGGTCAACTTAGGTTGTTGCATATGTGTCTTAATCTTCAACTAGTCGGTATTTTATACCATTTTCAACAATAGTCAGGCACTGCAGCACAACGGTATCTTGATACAGAGGACATCTTCCATTCTTCATCGAGAATCAACTAGCTATGAGCGACAAAGTTTAGGTTCCTCTGGAACCTAACTCTTGTAGGCTTTCCTGTCTTCTTACACTACTGAATCCTGGCCCCTACAATGTTTTCGAGATCTTCCACCTCACCTTCAATAGTATTTAAGACTCCATTTTCATGCTTCAGCTTTATATCGTTCCAGACCTTGGAGCTGAACTCTTCTCCAGGCTGAGGGACTGACCATCTCAAATATTTTTTCTCCGAGGTTGATAGATTGACTACATCATCTCTATTTCACTACTACACCTACTGCCTCTGTATTTGACTGAAGAAGCCTACTGTGTAGGCGAAATATTTCATCAGTAAAGATACCCGCTGTTGCACATTTCTAAATCTTCAACACTGGGCATGTTTCCTTAAGACACCTGCTGTCCCTGTTCACCTAGCAGTAAGTAGGTACCTGGGTTTTAGCCGACTGGTGTGGGTCGCATCCTGGGGACAAAAATTAACCTAAGTTGCCCGAAATGCTGAGGATAACCAGGGACTTTCTATACAGCATGTCACTGATGTCAGCTAGTTATGTATAATTTGTATCATGTACTTGTAGAAATAAAGATTATTATTATTATTATTATTATTATTATTATTAAGTTGCGGTTCCATAGAACATGTTACGACGAAGGTAAGTACACAGACAGGAGTGTCATTCACAGCTTGTGGTATCAACAATTTATTTGCCTGTGGCATCATTAACCCGCACCACCAATACACCGTCATGCTGAGTATGAGAAAAGTGACCTTCGGGTCTACTTATGCAACATATGGAAATCTTTATTTAGGAAACGTTTCGTCACACAGTGACTTCATCAGTTCAATACAAAGAAGTGGGTAAGGAGAGGAGGAGTTTGAGGTGATCAGTCCCTCAGTCTGGAATCGATGTCTTCTACTTGTCTGTTTTCAAAACCATTTATCACACAGACCTTCGGATCTGTTACCATCAGGGTCACTCAGCTGGCTCAACAGTTGTCCAGGTTATGATGGGTCGGTGGTTGGGCAACACTGGGGAGCCCAAATGTTGCATTCTTTATCTTGCAGGCTCTCCTACCCAAATGTTCCTCAAGAGTCTCATTCTCGTCTTCATTTCATTGTTCTTGGAATATAAATTGGTATTGGTTTTATTGTTTACTATATAAAAACCACTGTAAAAATGTTTTATGACTAAATATCAACTCTGGTAAAAATTAAATAATCATTAATCAGTTTTTTTTTTTTACACAGATTAAGTTTACAGGAGGCCATATAAGAGATGATTTATCTCAGCTCATTTCTAAGTCCCCTCAGGGAAGGTTCCTTGATGTTGGTGAGGGGCTCTTGATTTAGGGAATTGGATCTGTGCTCCAGTTCCCCGAATTAAGCCTGAATGCCTTCCACATCCCCCCCCCCAGGCGCTGTATAATCCTCCGGGTTTAGCGCTTCCCCCTTGATTATAATAATAATAATAATCATTTCTAAGTCCAATCTTCTCGAAGGTCATGTTACCACCAGAGAGAGTAAGGAAATACTCTAACGTTTCCACCCGTACCGGGGATCGAACAACGGACCTCAGTGTGTGAGCTGAATGCGCTACCAACTTTCTTTTCAAAGTCTCTGTCGCAATATAAATCAATGCTGAACAAAAAACTTAACGTTTCTAGCTAACTGAACGTGTTTTCCCACTGAAACATCAGCTTCAGCAGATTACAAAAGTCAACCCAAGTCAAATACGTTTTCAGTGAGCAGGAAGCCAGTGAAGGGGGAGGATACTCGCTCTCCGTCTCTCAGTCTTATCATTTGCTGTCGTTCTTTCTCAAAACTGTAAGTTATAACAAGAATTATTCTTGACTTAGCCTCAACTCTAGTCAAAACAGTAGTTAATATTTTTATTAGATTTTAGTCGTTTTTGCTTGGTAATTTGAAACTTGCTTATCTGTGGCCTTCAAAGAGGATGTGGAAGGAACGCATCGGTGAACTAGTTATAAAAATAGCAACCATAACGTGAGTCACAGTATAATGTCTTTGTAACTATGGTTACTATAGCAACATACACCCAAGGAATTTATCATTATTATTTAGATTTAGTGCTAAACCAATGGGGATCATACAGCGATCGCCAATTATATTCCATTCAAAAGTAACTGGGGAATAAGTTTATTCCATCTCAGTAAAATAATAATAATTATTATTATTTTTTTATTATTATTTATTATTCCCCAGCCTCCTTTAGAACGGAATATAATAGGCGATCGCTGTATGACCTTTATATAATAATATATCTTTATTTACTACAAGTATATATACAAGGTATACAGACCATAGCTGACATCAATGACATGTACTTCTGTATAGAAAGCGGCTTGTTATGCTGAGCATTTCATGCAAATTATGTCAGTATTGTCCCAGGATGCGACCCACACTAGTCGACTAACACCCAGGTACCCATTTTACTGATGGGTGAACACAGACAAGCGGTATAAGGAGACAAGTCCAATGTTTCTACTCGTTCGCTGGGAATTGAACTCGGACCTCACAGTGTGAAGCTAGAGGTTTTGCCACCAGGCCATTGGATTTATCACTAGCCCCAAATAATAATAATAAATTAACTGGGATCTTTCTCTAATAATTTTACACTAATAAACGTCTATAACTACTTTGTGTTTATTGCAATAACTATGATTATATACTAGCTTGAAAAGGAAAATGTAGAAATGTATGAGTTTGCCCATGAATCTATTTCAGTTAATATTTAGCACTGTCAAACCATGTCCTTATTGATTATGCAGTAAATTTTCCCTATTTTCACTTTGTAACTAAAACCTTCACTTCTTTCACTAAAAATATTCATGAGGATTACAGTACAGTTGACCCCCAATTTTCGTCTGGTGCAAGAATCGTACAATTCGGATTTTGAGCATTTTTTTGGCGAAACTTTGCCCTGGGTTTCATATATCTGCTCGGAAATCGTCTGTATCAGACGCCTTCACCCACCCAGGACGTGGCTTCTGGCATACCAGACTCAGTCTGCCTCTGTCTCTCGTTGAATTAGCAATACTCTGCGCATTCATCCATTGTTTTTTGTGCTTGTTTATTGATTGGCACTGAAAAATAAGCCACCATGGGGCCAAAGGAAGTTCAGACTACCAGCCCTTTGGGAAATAAGGTGAGAAACACAATAGAATTCAAGAAAGAACTTTTAGCAAAATATGAAAGTGGGGATGTTTGGCAAGTCGACATAACAATCAGTTCCATCCTGGCGAAGAAAGCAGAAATCAAGGAAGGTGATGTTGCGAAAGGGGTAAATATGCTAACGACATAGAGATCACAAACAATTGAGGATGTGGAGAAGTTGGTGCGGATCAACGAAAAACAGTTAGCAGGAGATAGTGTTGTGGAGGGCTTTGATAGGGCTTTGATACCTGAAGTCCTAATGGAGGAAGATTCCCCTTCCTAACAATAACCTTTCCTCTCTTTCCCCTCCTAGCTTTCTTCCGTATGCCAACAAGTCTTCAATAAAGGTATGTAATAGTGATTTAAATGTTCATTTATCCATTAAAATTAGTGCTTTATATTTATTTCTCATTTTTTTTTCTATGTAAAATTATAGTTATTCTCTATAAAATGTATTTTTTTGTTAATATTTTTGGGTGTCTGGAATGGATTAATTGGATTTACGGAAAGGAAATATAAACACATATGCAGTATAATGTGATCCTTTATTGACAACGTTTCACCCACACAGTGGGCTTTTTCAAGTCACACACAGATCTACCTGGGGTGGAAGGTACGGGAGTATAGTGAAACGTTGTCAATAAAGGATCACATTATACTGCATATGTGTTTATATTTCCATTGTGTCGGTATTTTATACCATTTATTTCCAATTGGATTTACATTATTTCTTATGGAAATATTACTTTGGTTTTCATCCATTTTAGATTTTGGCCAACCTTCTGCAACGAATTAAGGATGAAAACCGGGGTATTAGTGTACAGTAGTAGTATTAGCAGGTACCTTCTTACTAATGAAGAAGCCAATAATCTTAAATTTGTGAGATCACATTTAAATTTTTTTAGCACTAAGCAATACATCATTTAACAAATAAAATCAAATACTTTATAACTTAATAAAATTATGAATGACACTGTAGTGTGCTGTTCTGTACTAGATCTAATGGGCAATGTTTCCATAACAGGTGAGATGCTGCTAAAAAGAAGTTAACTTCTTCAAATGAAGAACCTATCCTGAGAGCCAAGGATTGTAATAGATCATTAGAATTTAGTAGATCCTGAGAGCCAAGGATCTATATTGATCTCTTTGGTAGTGTTCTGTTCATCCTGAGAGCTAAGGATCTACATGGACCATTTTGCATTGTTTTGAGGAGCCTGAGAGCTAAGGATCTTCCTCAACCATTTTTAATCTAGTGAATCCTGAGAGCTAAGGATCTTTCTCAATCATTTTTAATCTAGTGAATCCTGAGAGCCAAGGATCTTCCTCAACCATTAAAATTTGTGGATACTGAGAACTAATGAACCATGTGGATTATTTTGTAGTGCTTTTGTGATCCTGAGAGCCAAGGATCTTTTTTGACTATTTTTAGTACATTGTTGATTCTGAGAGTCAAGAACTTTTCTTATAAATATAGTGACATTTATGGTATATTTTTCTTTAAACAGTTTATTTTGTAAACTTGAGGATCCTGAGTACCAAGGATCTTCAGAATTATGTTAGTGTTTTGAAAATCTTGAGAGCAATGAATATTTCTCAAGTTTTTATTTACATAATTTCTATAGGATATGATTTAAAAGCTAAGCCAAAGATCTTTTAAATAGGTTTTTGCCAAAAATCTTTTAATTAAACAGGTTTTTACCAAAGATCTTTTAAATAAGTTTATACCAAAGATCTTTTAAATAAGTTTATACCAAAGATCTTTTAAATAGGTTTACAACTGCTTATGATTTTTTTCCTTTTTATTGATTTTGAGGATAGCACAGTTGTGTTCTTATTTAAATATATTTTCCAGGATAGCTAAGAAATAACAGCAGTGATGAATTCCTGTATTACTGATCTAATTTTGCGCACTCTACCAGACAATTTAAAGGCAGATGGCTTTCATTTAATTGAAACATCAAGAGTTATGGAAGAAGAGCGACTTAAAAATCGCAACAAATTTAGAAGACACAGAGGTGATCGAGGTGATATATCTTCACAGCAAACTGAAACCCAAGAAGATATGATGAAAAGAAAATCTAAAGCTGAAAAAGCAGCTTTGCCAGTTGCTATAGCAAAATTAATAATGGAAGTTTGGTCGCCACAAATGCGTCGACATGCTGAAGCACTGATCCTGCAGAAAGCCATTGAAGAACAGTATTTGCAAGAGGATCACCTCAAGTGGGTACATGTACTTGAAAAGTCTGATGATGATTATGATAATGATAGCAGAAATAATGGATGGGTAATAGAAAATCAAGACAGTACTATAATTGAATTAATATGGAACAGATTTAATATAAAGGAGCATTTTTCTACAGTGAAAAGTCACCGAATGTGGATTCAAAGAAGTTACGATCGTCTGAAAGATTTTGTACCAAGCCTCCATGCTGAAATTATTGAACGCCATGATCTCAGTAAATTTGCTTTTAGTCAGGCAATAGGTTACACTTTAAAATGGGTACATAACCTGTATAATGACATATGGAAAACTGCATGTGATCTACACTTGCATAATGAACCTCATCATCCACAAACTTGGAGTAATTTACATACACCTGAGGAGAAGAGGAAAGCATTAGAATACTGGACGAAGGATGTGTGTGAGTTTCACAATGGATGTCCATATGGAATTGACATAGCAAATCTTGATCTGAACTCTGAGGATTTGGCTGAACCTTTCTTACTTGAAAGTTTCATTGATATGGTTGGTGTAGAATGGGAAAGAAAGAAGGGTCAAAACCTGGACATTAGCCTTAGGCAGCTAGTGTACATGGATGATAAATTCTTAAATCGGTATTCAAAGAAACAGCATCAAATAATAAGCAACCTAATGGAACGTATTATTGCATCTGATGATGGCTGGAAGACTGTTGCCTTAACAGAGAGAGAAAAATTGTTAATGACTACTGTGCCCCAACACAGACGTGCAAGTTATGTGTGCCAGACAGAAGTGCAGAAGAAATATGAAGAAAAAAGATTAATAAATTTGGTTAAAAAGGATGAAAGTGAGAAGAATGAAGGTAACATAGATGATGTGTTAACTGAAGAAATGATAAGGAATGCACATGATGCTGCATTTCTTATAATGATAAGTAGAGTTGTCATGGAACATTGGGATAATAGTTTTAGGAAGCATGCTGAAGAAGTCATCCTAAAAAAGGCTATTGAAGACAAAGTTCTTTGCGAGAGCCATTGGAAATGGATACGTATTATTGATAATTATGATGAAATACAAGGAAATGATGCAACATCAGATATACTGGTAAATGATGATGCAATACTTCAGTTATTATGGTTAGATTTTAATTTATGTGAGCACTTTTCACAGGTTAAATGCCACCGCTACTGGATCATGCAAAGTTATATGCGATTATCTCGGTTTATGCCGGAACTGCCAGAAGAAGTAATAGAACGCCATGACCTTAGCAAGTTTGCTTTATCACAAAGTATAGGCTACACACTGAAATGGGTTCATGACATAAACTACCCAGTTTGGCGCAAATCATGTGATTTACATCTTAATTACGAGCCACACCATCCACAAATGTGGTCCAATAAGCATAAGCCTGAATTTAAGCAATCGTGCTTGGAATCTTGGCTGTGTGCAAGTGCAAATGATTTGCAGTATGGTGTGAAAATAGCTTCACTTGATTTTACTTCAGAGGATATGGCAAAAATGTTCCTTTTGGAAAGCCTTATCGACATGGTTGCTATTGAATGGGAGAGGAACAAAGATCAGAAGCCTGACTTATCATATACAGAATTAATTCAAATGGAGGAT